ATAAGGATGAGGGAAGCAACTTGTATCGGTGGTCTGATATTGGCTCTTCAGACATGGTTCTACGAGGTGTGCGACACGGATGATGGTGTAGTCGCAACCTACGTGGGTGTACACGATATCCCGAGGATAATCAAGTGGGAAGTTCGGGAACCCTGTACTCGTAGTTTTGTGCAGAGGACCTTTTCTAATCTTCATCACTCTAAGGTAAATAATAATGTTTTATTATATATCGATAACGATTTTTTTTCTTTATTATGCACAGTTCAATAACATAGTTCCCACCGAGGCCGAGAAACAAACTTTTCTGTTGGACTCATTCTTCAGAAAAAAAAATAAAAAAAAATGAGTTCACTCGGAAAAAAATTGCATCAACTGCCACACCACAACATACCACTGATGATGATGTTATAACCCGGCTCAACACACTTACTGCTGAAGTCCAGAGTCTGAAGGAAGCCTTCTACGACTTCTCGAGACGGGTTTTTGCCAAATTTGATTTATTGAAAGAAAATTCCTAGTAAGTCATTGTTCATGTTTATTGCTTTTGTTTTTTTAGCATATATTTGTTGCATATAACTATGTATATGGTCAGACTCTTCTGCATGTTTATTGCTTTTGGTTTCTGATTGAATGTGTAGAAAAACATTGATTGTCTCATTTAATAAACTAAATTTATGATGTGCTGCATGTTGCTGTGCAAGTACATGATGGGCTGCATGTTCCTGCATGAAAAAATATTCTGGTATATATAACTTATAGTCTGGTATATTTTCTAAGTACCTTTCCATGTTCATGTGCAAGTACATATTGATATTATGGTATATCTAAGTTACATGCTCATGTGCAAGTCACATTGTTCATGTGCAAGTATTTTTTAAGTATTTTTATAGTATGTGTTCATATAATATGTGGTCACATATACCACATATATAAACTGAATTGATACCACTCTGGTATATCTAACTTATATTATGGTATATTTCCTAAGTACCTTTCCACGTTCCTGTGCAAGTACATATTAATATTATGGTATATCTAAGTTACATGTTCCTGTGCAAGTACCTATTGTTCCTGTGAAAGTATTCTTTAAGTAGTTTTATAGTATGTATTCAGATACTATATGGTCATATATACCTCGTATATAAACTTAATAGATGTTCCTTTATTTTTATTAAGTATTTATGATTGAATGTGGGGAAAACATTGATTTTCTGACTGAACAAATGGAAGTTGTTTGTCCCATTTTTGTTGCGTTTTTCGTTATTGTTTTGTCTTTTCTTTTCCCCTGTTTTAGGTCTTTTAGTTGATTTTTGGTCGTTTTTGTAGTTTATTTTGTGTTTTACTCTATTTTGGTCTTCTATGTGTTTTTGTGTGTTTTTCTGGTTTTTTCTTCTTGTTTTTGGTGTGCAGGATGGAAGCCCCGTGGGGAAGAGAATTTGCCCAAAAATTGAACGGGCAATCATGGTTTTATAGACGGGTTTGTTGGCGATATATAGGAAGAAGCGGAGATCAATTTCGAGCTTGGACGAGTCCAAACGGGCCCAAAACGCGAAGTCGCACGAAGCACGTCTTTGGTGTGTCTTTGGTGTGCTGGTCATAAGCTTTGAGAGAATTGGACTTCAAGAATAATTTGGCCATTCAAGTATCATGGAATAGAGGGGTTCGTTAGCGATGCGTGGGAAAAAACGGAACTCAATTTCGAGTTCGGACGAGCCCAAACGGACCCGAGAAGCAAAGTCCAGCAGACTGCCAGAGCCTTAGCGCCGCTAAGGCACATAGGATAGCGACGCTACACGGTACTGGCTCGAACGGCTAAGGCACCTTAGCGGCGCTAACCCCCCTTAGTGGCGATAAGGCCCCCTGCAAGTCCCAGAATGGTATAAGAACCCCAAGAACTCGTTTTCTTCTCCATTCTTTGACCATCAGCTCGAAGAGGGAGGAACCCTAGGTCCGAAAATCGCCTCCCCCCTTCATTTTTCTCCTTCTTCTTCCTCTTCTCCTTCCTCTCCTTCCTCCTCTTCTTCTTCTTCTTCGTTTTTCCTATTCTCTTCATCTTTCTTTTCCATTTTTCTTCTTCTTTTTATTAGTATTCAAGGATTAAGCTTGTAATTCAAATTCAACACTTGGAATTGCGATTTATTGTAAGTTCTTCTCTTTATTTTTAATTCATGAATAATGGTTGAATTGAGAGAGATGATGGATTGTGTTGAATTGATATTACTTAGCTAATTCTTATTGCTAGGGATAGGGGATGATTGTTCTCGTTTAACGTGTATTTGTCGGGCTTGAATTGTTCGTTCTTGTGCGGTTGATTTAATTACGAATTGATGAAATCTTGTTTGATTGATTGATATAATCGTAGAGTGACACTTCGATCTTGCAATTGGAAACAATTGAATGTTGATTAGTCGAGTTAGGATTTTGTTGATTTTATATGATTAGTCGATTAACTCTCTTCTAATTTAATTAGCGACTGTTAGAACCGAAAGGGGAGAAGTCGTAGACTTAGGCTCGCACGAGGTAGATGATTTCGTAATCGAATAGTCTATAGGTTTTGGATTGAAATACGTGCTTGTCGATGACTCGTCCCTTGTTACGAATAGTTATTGGGATTGGGATAATTGGCCTGTGTCCTATGCTCAAGTTTGTTCATCTATGTTCAATCCCTTGTTACGAAGAGTTATTGGGAGCGAACCGCTAGATGCTTAAGCGAGAGCGTCAACCTAGAATAGACTGATTAATGTCCCGGTGTGCAAATAGAACTTGAATTAACTATCCCCGACTCCCTAGCTTCTTTATCGTTGTTTCGTTTATATTTTTAGGTAGATTATTGTTTATTTTATTTCTTAGTTAATAATTATTCAACCACCCTTATTTGATTAGAGTGTTTAGGATTTTATTTTCTTTTTGTGTGAAATCAATACCGAAGCCAAATTCCGAACCGCCTTCCTTGTGAGATCGACCCGGGGAACGAATCCTTCGATTCGGTACTCGGTAAAAATAACAATTTGTTACAACAGAAGTATGAATTCTCTGATGGACAGATAGTAGTTGAACATATATTTTGTTATATCTAACTTATATTCTGGTATTTTTTTTATGTCCCTGTCACTGTTCCTGTGGAAGTACCTATTGTTCCTGTGCAACTGTTTTTTAAGTATTTTTATAGTATGTGTTCATATAATATGTGGTCACATATACCACATATATAAACTGAAAACATGTTCCTTTATTTTTTAGTATATATAAACTCATTAGATGTTCCTTTATTTATCATACCAATATGTATCGTCATCTCATCACATTAAAATTATAACATAGGGTGGTTCAAGTAAAAAGCAACACGTCGGCAAAGGGAACACGAGCGAAGTTCGTGGTGGAAGTGAAATGCCAGATGATAGTACTCACATATCAACTGGAAAAGAGACGGTTTTTTTTTTTATCTTCGATTATATTTTTTATTGTCTATATCTCATTTATAGTAACAATTATATTAAAATTATTCAGTAACACTTTTTAATGTTTTTTTTGTTTATATGTTTGTAGCCTTTTCAGAAGCCATCTAATGTGAATGTTCAGACAACAAACGAGGTTGAAATTATTTTGTTTTTTCTTTCTTCCTATACCATTATTTGTATAATTAATGTTTTTTCTTTTTGGGTTGGGAATGTCATAAAATATATTTTTTAAATGCAAATCCCTGTCAAATCTCCTGTAAGAGCATTGAGAACCAAAGCAGAAGCACTCATGAAGAGCGCAGCCGACAAAGTAAGCATATATTCTTGCAATATCCTGTCCTGTATCATTAAATTTCCGATATTTAATTATTATTATTATTATTATTATTATTCAGTTCAAACTCTGCCCAACCCCAATAGCCATTTACCCAGCAACGTTGTCGACGACGATGACACATTTCGCCTGTTCAACACCCAATTCATAGAGGAGGTTGAGAGGATTGCCCAAGATAAGTTAAATGAAGTACCAAAGGGAAAAGAACCAGTAACTACATCTGTTGTATTCAATGTGCTCTATTTCTTGCTTCTTTTCTTCTTTTTCTTCTTGTTTTCTCTTTTTCTTTCTTTTTTCGCCTGTTTCCTAACTCTAACCGAGTGATTTCCCTTCTTTCTTGCCCTACGTGTGAGGAAAGAGTCTCTAAAGGCTTTGGGGTCCCCGCTTTCAAAGGCGGAAGGCGCTGATTCGAGAGTTAGGGCGCTGGTTGGAGAGTTCGCGGCAGGGGTGGACGGTTTCAATGCAAGTTTCTTCCAGCAGAACTGGAAAATTGTTGGTAACTCGGTTTGCAGGCTGGTTCGGGAAGCCTTCCATAAGGGATGGGTGGACCCGAGAATTAATAAAGCCTTAGTGGTTAGAAGCGAAGTAGCTCGACTGAAAGGAGAGTAGTAATTGACCTATCTCGTCAGGGGCGTAAGCACTTCACTCACTAGGGGATGGGATTCATTCACTTGCATTCTTGCTAGCACTACAAAAAGCTCCGGTCTTAACGCCCTTACGACTGTTGTGCAGCCTTTCCTCGGGTTCGTAGAGTCGGGATTCGAAAATCTTAAGCTCATCTAGTGCCAGTGCACGTCACTCTATTCCCTTAGGGAAGCAGGTCAGCAAGTGGGACTTTAGGTAAGAAAGAATCGTTCTATCTGGACTCTTTCTATAGGGTGTCGCATTCATTGGACCAGCTCAGAATGCTCTTTTAGTGAGATACCAAGGGTCTAGAAATTCTGTATATTTTATAGCTTGAAAATGAACCCCTTCATATGCGCGATAGAATAAGAGTTTCGGTTTTATGATGATTCGCCTGGGTCGAGCTGCCCGGGGAAGGAGGTGGAAGATGGACCCTCCGGAGACAGATCTTGGACAACAAGCATCTGACCAATCTTACCCATGTCTTTCCCGAAGCCTCTCACTCCTTACCAAACATACCGGATGCCAAAGGTAAGAAGCGGTATGACGATTGGAACACCTTCTTCTCGGCGTATAGAAAGCATTTAGTCCGAACCAGCTAGCTGGGAGTGACTACGTTTGTTCCAGTCCCACTCTCCTGACGGCAGAACCGCATCGGCCACTTTCATGTCTCTTTCGGACGGGGGAATATCTTCCTTTGCAAGAAAGAGCAAAGGTCCTTCAGTGTGCACTCAGCGATCCTGCCAGAAACGTATCTGTTTGCCATCATTAACAATCCAACGTGCTCCCCCCACTGCCACTTGCCAAAGCTTTGCTATTTGCTTCCAGGCACATGTGGCTTTGGGCCTGGAGATGTTTGCCGGGACTGTTAGATCTCGACTCGGTCCCTGCAACCCTGCTCGACGAGGTGCATGGCGATGGGAGCTCTTTTCGCATTTAGTGCTGGCTTAGGCTCTGCTCCAGATAGTGTGACGGCAGAACTTATTGCTATTGTTTGTCCTATTTTTGTTATCTTTTTCTTGATTGGTTTATAGGTTTTTAGCCCCCGATTTAGGTCTTTTGATAGGATTTTCGGTCCTCGAGTTGTTGGTTTTGTGTAGTTGTTGTTATTCCTTTATTTTCATATTTTCGGTTGTTTCCTCTGTTTTCGGGTGTTATTCTTGTTTTTGGAGGTGTGCAGGTTCGGGTTTGACTAAGTGTTCAAGTTTACCCAGTCGAGCTATTCCGGTTTTACAAAGCACCTGCGAGTCTTCCTAATGCCACGCCAGAAGATCCCTTCCAGACCACCACGCTGGGCCCTCACGCCGTGACACCCTTAACGGGCCTTCAGACGGACAAGTTTTGCTCGCCACGCCGCTACATCCCTCGCGCCGTTACAATTCCCTGCTCCACGATGGCCGCCACGCCGCGACGATCTCCACGGGCATACAGAGGCTCCAGGTCCCTCTAACTGCCGCGCCGCGTCCCTGCCTAGCGCCGCTACGAGATCACCTGCCGCGCCGTGTCAGACCCCCGCGCCGCTACGAACTCTCCTGCCGCGCCGCGCCCGTGAGCTCCACGCCGTGACGAAGTCGCGCCTCGCGCCGCGGTGAAGCCTCGCGCCGCAGCGCCTGATATTTTGAACGTCTTTTGAAAGTTTAAACTGATCGCTACAAAATAGGATCGAGAAGGGTTTTCAGAATGGATTCGGCACTTTCATTCTCTCTCGTTTTTCAGACGAAAAAACTTGTTCTTATCTTTTGCTTAGTTTGAGAATTTTGGGAGTGACACCCAAGAGATTTCATCGTGGATTTGGATTTTTGCTTGAGATTCAACACTTGACTTTTATTTATCGTAAGCTTTCATCTCATTTTGGTTATGAGTTTGAAGTATTTGATTTATACAATGTTTTGTGTTCATTTCAACATGAGTGGCTAAATCCTTGAGCTAGGGATAGGGGATGATTACTCGTGTTTGTGTGTTTACCTTGCTTACGATTTTTGTTCGATCTATTCGAGTTGAATTAAACCTAGGGTTAGATGCTTGATCACCATCCTGACCTATTTAATCGACTTGTAGAACCGAAAGGGGAGAAGTCGATCGATCTAGGCTCGATTAGAGTAGGCTTGTTCGTGATTGTATTGCCTATGTGTTGTTTGATTGGTTTGATTTACTGTCTATGTTTTCCCTCTTGTTACGAACAGTTATTGAGGATTAATCTCTAGACGTGTAGGTTGATCGAATTATTTAACTGAACAGTCTTAGCTTGGTATTTACATTTGATTCGAGAGCAATCATCCCTGATTCCCTAGCATTCTCATACTGATAAGTAACTCGTTTTAAGTCATTTATAATTGTTCATTTACGTTATCTGAGAATTAGTAGTCGATAATTAAAAATCAAAATCATCGTATTAGAGTGTTTAGGAAATTAATTTCTTCTTCTTGTGATTGAATATACGTACGAAATAATCCGGCTAACCTTCCTTGAGACACGACCCGGGGATTGAATCATTTGGTTTAACTCCGGTAAAAATAACTACAACAAAATGGCGCCGTTACCGGGGAGGGTTTAGGACTTATTTTGTGCGCCAATTCATATTGTCTTCAGTGTTTCTGTTATCTTCGTGATTTCTTGTTCTTTGTGTTTCTTTTCGTTTTATTTTCTTGATTTAGCTTAGTGGGTCTTGTTTTGCCTTTCCTTGTCTCTCTCTTATTTATCTGGTGCCCGTGACGTTTTGTTGTTTTTGTTTATGCGTACCAGGAGCGGTCTTGTAATCATCCCGTACAACGAATCAATCTAGAGGGATCTACAAGAACTGTTGGCTAACCTTGCCCCTGAATCCTCAGACTCAGTCAACCGAGATTCAGATAGCCAAGAAGACATGGCACACAACGGTGACGAGGAAGTGAATAACCCACCTCGTCATCTTCTTCGCGAGTTGGCTCAACAATAATCGGGCCAGTGACTTCGTGTATCCGGCTGGGACCAGCAGCTCGGAACTATGAGCTAAAAACAATCCACTACAACCAGCTGCCTTCTTTTCATGGTTTACCTAATGAGGACCCACTCCACTTCATCCGGGAGTTCTATAATGTCCTCCAGACCTTTCCTCTCTATAACCTGAACGAGGACCAACTAAAGATGAGATGTTTTCCCGAAACACTCAAAGACCGGGCCAAGGCTTGGTTCATGACACTTGCTCCCGACTCCCTCACCACTTGGGAGCAAGTGTATACCAAGTTTATAGGGAAATACTACTCTCATCAGAAAACGCAAGAGTTTCGGTCCCAGATTGTTTCTTTTGCCCAACAGCCAAACGAGCCACTTCATGAGGCGTGGGAGCGCTTCAAGGACCTCCAGAGACAGTGCCCGCATCACAATTTCCCTCCGGCCCTGCTTGTGAACAGTTTCTATGACTCCCTCCACCATAATCTTCAATACATGGTGGATAATGCAGCTGGTGGAGATATCGGGGCGAAGACGGCAGAAGAGATGATAGATATTTTTGAGGCGATGAGTTCTAACTCGTCTCAAAAGAGCAGTCGAGGGAAGAGGACTTTTGTCAATGAAGTATCTCCAGGACGAGACATGATGGCACAACAGCTAGCTGAGCTCACGGAGCAGATGCGGCTGCTGAATGCAAGAGGAGGCCAACCAATGCAGACCATGGCTGTAGAAGCGTGTGGAGCATGTGGAGTACAAGGGCACAGGTCGGAGGTGTGCCCATCAGCTTTCGATCAAGATTTTGGTGAACAATATGAAGATGTCAATGCTCTTCAAGGCTACCAGAACTGACCTGCCAACGACCCATACTCAAACACGTATAACCCGGGGTGGAGAAATCACCCAAATCTCTCGTGGTCCAACAACAACAACGTCCAGCAGCCTCCTCGACAGAACTTCATGCAGCAGCAACCCCGTCCCACTTTCATTCCCCAACAGCAGATGAGACCGAATTATCCTCAACAGCAGCATCAGCAGCAACAGAGGAGCCCAATGGGAGGAGTGCAAGCACAAGGGACCGGACCCAGTTCAACAAATCAAGACGACAAGCTGGACAAGATTCTCCAGTTTATGGCAAAAAGTGAGCAAAGGGGCGTAAACACCGATGCCTCTATCAAACGCATGGAAACACAGCTGGGCCAACTTGCTACAAGAGTTGGGAACATAGAGGCTGACTCAGATAAAGGGAAGCTACCCAGCCAGCCTAAGGAAGCCAAAGCAATCACAGTTCTGAGAAGTGGGAAGGAGGTAGACAATCACGTGGAAATGCCCAATCTTGATGAACCGAAGCCGATTAACCAGCCCGTGGAAACAGACGAGGGCGTGGAGAAGAGCACAGTGACCGATTCGAGGAAGCAAATAGATGGTTTGAAGTTGCACAAGTCACCAAACCCCTTCAAACCGAGCATACCTTTCCCAAGCCGACTTCGAGACGAGAAGCAGGAGCAGCAATTTCGGGACCTATACAACATGCTCTCAAAGGTCAACGTCAACCTGCCACTCCTAGATGTGATCAAGAACATGCCTTCCTACGTGAAGTTTTTCAAAGACTTAGTGACCAAGAAGAGGAAATTCGGAGATGGAGAGAAAGTGGTGGTCTATGAGCCAGCTAGTGCAATGCAACATGATCTGCCCAAAAAGGAACGAGATCCCGGGGGTTTTGTGATTCAAATAGCCCTCGAAAACGGAAAGGAAGCTTCGGGGATGCTGGACCTTGGAGCAGGGATCAACCTCATGCCGTTCTCTATCTTCCAGCGGCTCGGATTAGGAGACTTGAGGCCCACCCGCATGTGCCTTCAGCTCGCAGACCGTTCTATCAGATACCTCAAAGGGGTAGTGGAAGATGTCCTGGTTCGTGTGGGGAAACTTATCATCCCGGTGGACTTCGTAGTTCTAGATGTGGGGGACATACAGGAGAACGGGAAGGATCACATAATCCTTCTGGGCAGACCATTCATGGCCACCACCAACACCCTCATCGATGTGAAGAACGGGACATTGAATATGACAGTCTTGGGCGAGTCTGTTTCTATTTCAGTCCGAGAAGCCACATCTGCATCCTCAGTGAACTTTGTGGAGGAGTGCGCCTTCGTTGATATAACCGACATGTTTGTGGAAGAGACGACTATACGTGACTATGAAGAGAGGACAATTCCCGATCTAGAAGATGAAGGAGGGCCAACTATTGAGCTTTGTGCAGCCGACGAGTCCCACACACGGACTCCACCCACTCTAGAGCTCAAGGAACTACCCCGTCACCTCAAATATGTCTTCCTTGATGACGAGAAGCAAAGGCCAGTTATCATTTTTGCCAAGCTTAATGGTGACGAGGAGAAGGAGTTGATTGATGTACTCAAGAAGAATCAAAAGGCGATTGGATGGAGCCTCGGAGACATTAAGGGAATCAGCCCCTCCACATGCATGCACCGGATCATCCTAGAAGAGGGTGCCAAGCCATTTCGGGACAGCCAGCGGAGACTCAACCCGAACATTATGGAGGTGGTGAAGAAGGAGGTGTTGAAACTCTATTCCGAGGGACTCATTTATCCAGTAGCAGACGGCGAGTGGGTCAGCCCGATCCACGTGGTGCCGAAAAAAGGGGGTATCACGGTGATAGAGAATGAGAAGAAGGAGATGGTCCTCACCCGAATCACTACCGGGTGGAGAATGTGTATAGATTATCGGCGCCTCAATGCCGTGACAAAGAAGGATCACTTCCCGTTGCCCTTCATCGATCAGATTCTCGACCGTCTCTCGGGCCATCAGTTCTACTGCTTCCTAGATGGACTTTCCGGCTACTACCAAGTAGCCATAGCACCCAAAGACCAGCCAAAGACAACCTTCACGTGCCCATTCGGCACATTTGCTTTCAGACGGATGCCTTTCGGCCTATGCAATGCACCCGGGACCTTCCAAAGGTGCATGTTCTCCATCTTCTTAGATATGCTTGA